TTCTCTAGCGAGATGTACAATTTGTTCACAATTATATCAACTCTGAGTAATACAGTTATTATTACGATTATTATTATTATAATTATTGGTATTATTATTATTACTTCAATTGTTGTTAGTGTTCGCAGGATGAGGAGGTATATTTTAAGGTCATAGAGTAGCATTATAGGTGGTCAGAAGTTGCTTGAATTCTTTTAACAATTTTTCATCATTTTTATCTATGAGCTGTTGCATATTTGAAGTAGTATTAAAGGTTTTAGGAATATCATTCTCATTTTATATTAAATATGCTTTGCTTAAAAATTAACTTAAAAGTGTATTATCTTTAGATAATACTGCTTTAACAGCTCATGTTCGATCGTTAGCTTCTTCTAAGTTAGATCAATATTCTTGCAAAAATTGTTCATATAGAAGCTTTACAATAGAAAGGAAAGAAACTCTAAAAAAATTTTTTTTTGAGTTAATGTTAAATCTGAACTTATTTTACAAAAAAATCATAATTAGCTTAAAAAGTAAAATTTTAATTTTTTTAGAGTTTTCTTTCTTATTATTGCAAAGCTCCCATATTTTCATCTTTAGGTATATTATAATCTGAATCCAACTTAAGGTATAATGATTCAATATCAGCAGCATAATCCTCAACTGATTGTCCAGAACATTATTTGCATCATTTAATTGCAGAATACTATTACATTCATCAGTGAGTAATGCAATAATATTTCAAAAAATAATAGATAAAGGATTAATGCTTATTTTGCCGATCAGTTTGATTGTTCCTGTATTATAAGTCTTTTTCATTTTTGGTTTTGTTATACTAGATAAAAGCTGACGCTTTCAAGAATGAAGGTACTAGTGTAAAATGTCTCTTATCTAAAATTCTGTTTGCATCACCTGCATTATTATATCTTTTCAACTAATCACAAGGATCTTAGTCTTTACTTTTAAAGGTTGATAGGTCGACAAATTTTGCTTCATGTTATTCGCTAAAGCCAACAGATTTTAAAACAGTTTAGAGTTTTTGTAAAAATTAAAAGATGTCTAATTTATTTTAAGTTCCAATATTAATTGGATCAAAGGGATTACCTTCTGATTTGTTATGGTCAGAACTATCATGTTCAGAATCTGAACTAGATGAGAAGGAAGAGCTATAATAAGAAGGAGAACGAAATTTTCTTTTCTTTTTTCTGATTTCTTTGATTCAGGTTTTTCATTTTTAACAGTATTTTGTGATTTTTTTGACTTGGAAGAGCGAAATTGATTAGTACTTTTACCCTTTTTACTAGGTATTAAATCCTTACTTCCTGATTTAGAAGAAAGTTATTTTGACTGTCCTAATTAAGGTTACTGAACGAAATCCAGAGTTTAGATATATGTCTAAATGGTAAAAGTAAACTTGGTTAAATTATATTAAAATCTTATTAAAAAATCCGCGAAATTCAGAAAAATGTAAAACTATATCAAAGCTTATAAAATAGTGAAACTATATCAAACACTTAGTAAAAATTTAGTGAAATTAAAGGTTTAGACATTTAGTCAAACCCAAAATGAGTTTAAACAAGCAACTTTAGTCCTGACTCAAGAGAAAATGAGTCTGATTATTTTGTTCCAAAAGAGAATAGGTCTAATTGTTCTTTAGGTGTTCTATAAGTATTGAAATCTGTTAAGAGATTAGCAGTCCTGCTACTACTAGAGGTGACATTAGCTATAATAGTATCATCTGGTTGATAATCATTGTAGATAGAATTTTCATTATTATTTTCATTATTATTCTCATATAAGGATTTATTTCGAAACTCTTACTAATAGTTATAGTTTTGATGATCTAGTCATGTTAGATTGATTTTGAAGTTGAATTGTTATCAATAGGTTGATATATTTAGATAAGTCTGAGTGGAGAGGTAAAGAAAAAGCAGAAGTTTCGTTATGTATTTGAATAATTAATTGGAGAATTTAGAAAAAAGTATAAATGGTTATTTGTTATAGATGAACGTCTGAAAGGTTCATTTATAGAAATAATATTTTTGTGCAAAGGTAGTAAATACTTAGGCTAACTGAAAGTTTTCAACAGTTTTTCCAGTATATTGTTATATATCTAAAATAAATTTGGTTACTCAAAGGAAGACTGAAAAGATGTTAATAAAATTGATGGTAAAGGTGTTAGATGACAAATAATACACGAAGAATCTGGTGAGAGAGCTATATGTATAATCTTGCATTCCTTCTTAAGATGTTGTTGATGATGTAATTTCTGGTATTTAAATATACTTCCAAATGAATTCATATAGCATACTTATAGGTTATTACTACACCAATTAGAAAAAGAAAGTCCTGTTGTCATCACCAAATGTTAATGTATAATTCTTGTAAACAACAATTAGACAGAATGTCAAAGTGTTATTTCATTTTAATTACACAGTAGTCTTAACGCTTTACAAGTGTATTTTTATAACTAAGTTCAGATATAAAGGTATATACTAATATTTCACAAACAATAAATCACGATATATCAAGTAATTATATTTCAAAGTAAAATATTTATTAATGAGATAAAAAAAATAGAAATTAAGAAAATAAAAAAGATGACAAGAAAAAAGAAAAGAAAATAAAGAAACAAAATACTTAAACTAAAGTGTAATAAGATAGGCCTGTTTGTCTCTTAAAACTACTAGAAAACTGACTTGTGAAATCCTACTTTTTACATGGTCTAAAAAGCTATCTATTTATATAAAATACAATACATAGAAAGATATAACTAATATATCAGATATGTCTAATTTATCATATATGTCAAATATGTCAAATATATCAAATTTGTATAATATATCATATTTGTCGATCATATCAGATATATCATATATGTCAGACATATCGAAAATATCAGAAATATCAGATATATTAGATATGTCAGATTTGTCAATCATTTGCGTTATGTAGATCTTATCACATTTTATCTGTTCACAATAATGATGCTATGTTTTATAGGATAGTATACTAATTATCCTGATATATGTGTTGGTATTATAAAATAATTAAAATTAAGTTTCTTAATAAATAACAAATATTTTAAAATATTTGCAAGAAAACGAGAGTTCTCATCAGATTCACTATCTGTTAATAAGCATTAAATAGATTTTACTATAAGTAAACTCATAAAAAGCCTTTTCTTTTTTTTAATTGTTATAATATTAACCATATGTGTTTCACAGGAAGTACTCAAAAAGTATTCAAGATAAATAAAGATTCTCGTTTTTTTAGAGCATAAAAATTCATTGATATTGCTAGGATTAATCATAAGATAAACAAATTGAATCAGCTTATGTTAGATGATACTAAAAAATTATGATCTGAAACAGACGTAGGCTCATATTTGTATAACTTTAAAGATTTTTCCAATTGTAACAATGTTTAATGGAACCTAAAAATAATAATTTATAATTAATATTAAAACAATTAATTAAAATAAAAAAATTTGAAGTAATGACCTTAATTTTATCATCCTAAGAAATTAGAATAACGCTTTGTGAAAATGCTGACACAAAAGTTTTTACACCTTTAACCGATGCTAAACAATGATGTTTATCATTATGATTGTTCATTTCATTTCTTCCAACATCCATATGTTGGATGATGATGTCACTTTGCTTCCATTGTTTTTGAATGACAAGGTTGCATATAATTTTGTACTGTATAAATATTATAATTTTTCTCCATCTTTTCTTGAAAATGCTTGATAATTCATACCTTGACAACCTCTTTGCGATAATTATAATCTGCAGCATCAAACTCAATGCTACTATACATTTTTTTTAAAAGATCGGAATCATTCATTAAATATGATGGTGACCCAATGCATCATAAATTGACTCTATATTTTCCTTTTCTATTTTTTGTTTTTTCTTTTCTTGTGCTCGATTTTGAGTTACAGCATTACCTCTTAACTTATTAAGCTTACTTTTCTCTTCCATTATAGACTTACCGAGCCTTTTGATTTTTGAAGCAAATTTTGTATGAAGTGTTAAAGATGTGGGTGTTTGCAATAGATTATTATATTCGTAATTCTCAGTTTTGGCTCTATTAATAATAGCATCTGACTTTCTTTGCAATACTGCATTTATAGCTAAAGTTTTGAATATCATTAGAAAAGTTAGGAGGATTATTTGGAATGTTGGAGGTTCGATTGTAGGTTTTTTTGTAAAGGTTGTGAAAAAGAGGCTAAGAAAGAAGGTGGAGTGGGAGTTTTTAATAATTCAAAAATAAGTTTTTGAAAATAATCTTTATTTTTTGTTTTAACTTGCTTTGCGCCTGTTGTTGGAGTTCTTTTTTGCTTAATATACTATTTTGACTTTTTACCATTTCAAAGAAAGTGAACGCATTTACATAATTTTCATAAAGGTTTTGAGGGTTTGCAATTATATAATTCTTGGAACATTTATGTTCACGAAAATATTTCTACTTCATTTTAAAAGCCACGGTAAAAAAAAAAAAATTTTTTTTTCATATTTTCTTGAAAATTCTCTAAACGGCGTCTTTAAAAATGTAACACCTGATTGAATAATATATCGCATTAATCTAACTAAATTTATTTAGCGCATTTTAAACGTATAATGTATGATTGTCCAATTTTATAAACCGTAAATGGAAATAAAATATTAGTGTAACATCATTTAATCCTCCGTTAAATGACGTCATTTCTGGTTGTCTGTAATCTGTGCCATTTTATGTCGATCAGGTGACATATAAGAGGTCAAAAATGGTTAAACAATGTGTGACGTTTAGGATTTCCATAACAAAAAAAATTTCAAGTCCCTAGAATACTTAGTAAAAATGAAAATAGCGGTGGTATGACGTGGTGTGATAGATAAAAGGGTACTTAATGATCGACATAAAATGGCACAGATTACAGACAAGCATTCTCCCCATAATGTCGATCTATTTGTCTATAAATTCAAATATTTTGGAATCAACAGTCGGTTTGCTTTTTTGCACTTTTGTAAAAATAAATGGAAAAAACATTTACGTTTCATGTTCATTTACCAAAATATGTCGAAAAATGTGGAATTCCTATAGTTCTTGGTAATGTAAAAGAATTAGGACTTTGGAAAAATCCCATTGTACGACTTTCTCAACCATTTCCTCAAAATCCAACATATTGGCAATCTAATCCGATTACTATTTCGTTATCAAATTCTGGTATTCAGTACAAATTTGCTGTTTTTTTGACGCCCATTATTCCTGGGGAAACAAAAGTTGCATTCGAAGGATTCAGTATTAAAGACAGTCGCACTTTGGATATTATAAGAAATGAACAATTCGGTATATGGAAAAATAATGAATTTCTTTTGTTATCCAATACTATAGACGACTTTGCTTTCGTTGATTGTATTTATAATACTATCACAGATAATAACCTTAAAGACAAAGTTATGGAATATCAGCATTTATTAACTATTTACAATGATTTTATGATTCGCGCGTCAAATCTTGAATTTATTGTCAATCGTATTGATGACAGATCAAGAGAACAACGACTCTTCATATGTCTTCTCTTGGGGTATTATATATCAAGTCAAGAAAAGAATTATGAATTACCAACTTTATTTCCTTCTGGACTTCTACTTGATGCACTTGAGAACTATAAACAAGAAACATTACCTTCAGACAGCAAAGATAAAATGCACATCGCTATTACAACTTTAGTTCATCATAATGCTTTCCAGATGAAATTTAATTGGCTTAATATTTTTAAAATTAATGCAGAAGTAGATCCCGGCGGTACCTTTATTGATCGTTTACAGGCTTTAAGGTTTTCCAGTGACAATTTATTAGCAAAATTTATTGAAGAGGTTGAAATTATTAGTACTTATATTAAAGACATTGATTTTGAAACTTATGTTAAACTTTCCAAGGTAAATTTTAAATAAATATACTTTTTTCGAATAAGTATTTAATAAATTTGTTAATATATAATATATAGTGGTTAATTCAATTATGTCATAACATGGACTCTCTCTTTAAACTTTGGAGTGACGTTCTTTTGCATGATAACACATTGGATAAACAAATCTTTAAGTCGTTTATTGATCGAGTTCGGGAAAATATTTCTCATGACGATGCTGTTTCCTTAGAGTCCAATTTTAAAAGAATTCACAAACTTTATAAGGATGATATTTCTGGTGCCTTCCGAAGTCACGCTTTATTTTTACTCGAAAGCCCAGTTAGAAGGTGGACCAATCAGAATATTTTGGCTATACGAAGACTTCTTCAGAATGATGATCTTAACTGGCGTAGTGATGACATAATACTTTCATTGGAGTTGATATCACAATCTCATAGTTTGGAATTATTAAATATATTTCCGGAACTTTTGGATGATTGGTTTCGCAGTGATTTTTCTGATACTAAAAAAAAGGTTATACCAAACATTTGCGTAAATTGGTTTACACTTATTTTGACTAAACTTTGTACAACTGAGGAAAATACTTCAAATGAAAGTAACTTTATTTATACGGTATTTGAACGATTAGAACGTATGTATCCTTTGCTTGGTAATAGGATTAATATATGGCGAGATATGACAAACATTGCCATAGAAAGAGTAAAGGGATGTTCTGAACTTCGAATTTATGCTGCAACAAAATTTATAGTGAGAATAAAACCAGATGATGTCAAAAAATTATTTTTAGATATGGTAAAAGAAATATTAAATAAGAACGTTCAACAAATTGATGTTAAGTTACTACATAAAATATTTTTAATTTGTGATTGCAAAGGAAAATTTCTTGAAATTCCGAATTCGTAAGTACTTTTCAAAGAATGCTGTAATCAATTTATTTTCCATAAATGATTTTTTTTAATTTTATTAAATATTGTTAGGATGAGTGAAGATCTTTTGTATCATATAATGACTATATTACAAGAACAATCGACAGCATCTAGTCATTCGGAGTATGATTTAATTACTTTAAAAGCAACTAGATTTTGGAATATTATATTACGCGCTAGTGGAAGTGTCTCAAAACTTAATGCAAATTCATTTGTCAAAAATACTAAAATTTCTATCAACGAACTCGCGGGATTACTTCTCGAAAAAATGATTGATATAAAATTGTTGCAACAAATTTTAGAATATCCTGATGATAAATTATTTCAACATTTCGATGCAGCTGTTGCCAAAAAGAAAACTTTAGGTGACGTGGTCGTCTCTCGAGAAGAAATTGCTAAACTTAGAAAACTTTGTAAGGATTATCAACATCAACTCGATATACTTTTCAAATTTTATAGCGGATTTTGTTCGTATATTCAAGTAATAGATGTAAATGCTTACATTTTGGACCTACAACAACATATGCAAAATTCACACAAAGTTAAGTTGAAACAAGTATTAACATCGGATTACTGGGCTTTCCATGAGAAAACGTTAGAAAGTGCAAGACGTTGCTACAAATATAACAATTTCCAAACATTCAGGAATATCTTTGAAGCTTGTCTCCGGGAAGATGCTGCTGCAACAAGTGTAGAATATATAGCTCAAAAATTGATGCCTGCTGTTTTTGACAGATGTCTCATGATGTGTAATCAGTTTAAGGAATGGGAAAAACTCAAATGTTCAGATGCATCTTTGCTTTGGAAAAATGTTACGAATGTTAATGCTGAGCTCGATTTAATGGATGGTTATAAATCCTATAAAAGCCAAAGATTTATACAAACTCTTGATCATCTTTCAAAAATTCCTCACTGGATTGAGCGATTAGAACAATTAGAAAAGGCTGTAGAAATTTTCAGAATACCTCATAATAAAGACGATTGGTTGTCGAAATTAATTAGTATTTTAAAAGATGACTCTATGAAGCTTGGTCAAATGAACAATTTTTTTGATTACATTGATAGTAATCTTTCCAATGTTAATAATGATTGTTGGAAATTAATAAGAGAATTATCAAATGCTGATGATTTTATGAGTTTCTTAAGGAATATTGCCCAACATGATTTTAAAAATTTGATTAATGGGGACGATGATCATTCAGATGAAAGATTGATCGAAGAGGATACTGTTACTTCGCTTATTCAGGTCAAACAATTTTTAATTCCTCTTATGGATAGAAGTAAAATGGAAACCATCACCTATTTTCTGGAAGTGTTGCTAGAAGTTATCAAGAAGAATTCAACTCTAGGAGAAATGATTGCATTATGTAATAATAGCAACATGGCATTGCAAAACATGCACATCAACATCTTAAATCGTGGCGAAGATACAAAAGAAAAAATTAAGAATGCTGTAACCAATGGGACTTTTACTTTTTTTACACGCAACCCAAAAGACGATAAATGTTTAGTCTCATTAAAATATCCCTCTAAAACAAACGTGATGTATAATCTGAACGATATTTTGGATTTACGTGGACGAGCTCTTTTAATCGCCAAACCAAAAACTACAGTAAACAATATAATTGATGATAAAGA